TCAAATCATTAAAGACATTTTTTTTTTGTTCTTCTTTGGTATATGAAGAAATATTAGAATATAGTAAAATTATGATAAGTATTATTATTAATTTAAGTATTCAAATGTAGGAAATAGTTTATTAATTAATAACACATTTATTTAAAGTTGAAGTAAATTTCAAAGTTGTATCAAATGATAAATAGACTATAGAAAAAAAAAATGATTTAGTATAATTATTTTTCTTAATTGAAATAATCTATGTTTCAGTACAAATGTCAAACTTGTTTGTGTTGAAATAGAAAGCTCATTCTTTTTTTTTTTGTAAATATGTCGCCAGCTGCTACTTATGCACTTTTAATAAAAATTTTTTTTTAATATTTTGGAAGCTACGAGCAAAAGAAAGGAGACTGTACTCATTAATATAGTTTTGTATCATAGACAATTTTGTTCAAATTGCTTATAGAAAAGTGTTACAATGAATAGGTAAAGTTTTTGAGAAATATTGTTACTGAAACTTTTCATAGTTAAAAAAAAGCGCATTCTGTCAAAAATAATAATATTCGAGAGTTTTGAATATGATTTTGATTTTTCTTTCTAATAAAGTCATTTAAATTTCTCAAAGAATTTTTGCAATATGTTAAGAAAATTTTTAGTGATCTGAAATTGTTTTTTTTTAATAACTATATATCAGTAGTTTTAACTAATCAAACATTTACATAATAATGCTTATCTATTAAATGAATATAACAAGAAAAAAAAAAAATTTCAACCTTTATCTTTTTTATATGAAAAGCTCATGAATAAAAAACAAGGACGTCTATATGAATTGTTTATTTAATTATTCTTCTTTTAAGCTATGACAAAATAGAACCAAAGTTTTAAAGTATAGTCATAGATGTGAGTAATGTTCATATCCTAAATTCTTAGTGCTCATTGTTTTAGTTTCAAGACAAGAAATATAAGTGATCAAGATTTTTATTTCTGATAATTTTCTATGAGAATCGTGTTGATTTGCCTTGAATTTGTAGTTGTTGTACCATGTAATATATGTCTGCGCTTCTAAAGTTTAGATGTTCGTCCTTCCGGAAGAGAAAATCGAGAATTTATTTGTAAAACTATACAAATATTTATTTTCTGTTTCAATTAAAACATTTGTTTGTTTTTTTAAATAAATTTTTCTACTTAGATGGAACCATTATTAAAAAAATTATCAAAAGAAATAAGTGATGAAAGTATTGTTATAACATGTCGTTATCAATTTCCAATAAAATTTGATCGTACACTTGGTGAAGATATTGATGCTGTTTGGTTATATAATTCTCAAACAATTCGTAAACAAATTTTAAAAACTTAAATAAAAAAAAAAAAAACAAAAGTTTCTCTATTCAAATTCTTAGATTTTTGTTTTATATTTCAGATAAAAAATTCCATTGGTTGTTTTTTTTTTTTGGTTTTTTGTTAAATAATACAAAATAATAACAAAATATGTCATCGTCAAATATAGGTGATAGTAGTAATCTTAGTGATTATTATCCACAACAAAATCAACCATCACAAACAGCTATAACAGCATTCTTAGCTAAATTATGGGCACTTGTAAATGATCCATCATGTAATGATCTTATTGCATGGGATCCAAATGGTGGTTCATTTCATGTATATGATCAATCACGTTTTGCACGTGAAATTTTACCACGTTATTTTAAACATAATAATTTTGCATCATTTATACGACAATTAAATATGTATGGTTTTCGTAAAATTTCTACTATTGAACATGGTTCATTAAAAAGTGAACATGATGATATTGAATTTGCACATCCAAATTTTATACGTGGACATGATACATTATTAGAATTAATTAAACGACGTGCACCTGATAATCAACAAAAATTACATATACATACAACAAAAACTGAATTACCAATATCATCATCATTAACAACAACACCCACAACATCAGCAACATCACCATCATCATCATCATCAGCACTTGTATCTACAAATTATATTGATACAAAACCACCACGTTCAATTGAATTATCACATTTACTTGATGATGTTAGAAATTTACAAGCTAAACAAACATCATTAAGTGATAAATTATTTCATATGCAAGATGAAAATCAAGCATTATGGCGTGAAATGAGTATATTAAAACAAAAACATGCTAAACAACAACAAATTGTATCAAAATTAATGAAATTTCTTTTACATTTTCTTACGAATTCAACACAAACACAACGACCATCTGTTGAACAATCATCAAGAGAACAATCTCAACATCAACAACAACAACAAACAAAACATCATACAATAACAAATCCACATATAACAACAAATAGTCTTAAACGTAAACCAGCTGCACTTATGCTTAGTGATGAATCAAATAAACGTACAACACAACAACAACAACAACAACATAATATTTTATCACAAACAAATAATATTGAACGACAACCAGGTATAATTATTAATGAATTAACTGATAATGATACAACTGGTTGGCTTCATACAACAGATACATCACCATTAGTTGATCTTGTACCATCACCACCACCATTATCATTACCAGCACCACCTCAATTAGCATCAATACAATTAATTGATGATCATTATCATCAACAACATCCATCGACAAATTATGAATGGACTGTTCAAACGAATGATATTGATGATACATTAAATTTTTCAGAACAAAATAAACCTTATAAAACAATTGGTAATGGAAATAATGAAAGTCAAACAACATATATTCCAGATTTTTTCTTAAATACAGATAATAATCATGAAATAAAAACAAATATTGGACAAATAGATGACGTGAATTTATCAGGCATCGATACGGTAAACGTTGATGCAGATTATTTTTTTAATATGATTTAATATATATATTAAAAAAAAAAAATAATAAACACCATCGTTTAAGATTAACAGATATATTTTCTTTTTCACTCTCAAATAAATATACGTTTTATTATGAAATTAGATTCTTTTTTTTTTGTTTTTAACATATAATCTTAAAGTCATCATTTTTCTAAAGCGACAAGTCTTAACTCTATAAGTAAATAAACAAAAGTTATTTGATTTGTAAGATAATAATCTTATAAATACAAAATTAATTTCTTTTCTTTATTATTTTTCTTTTGATTTTTATTAAAATATAAATTAAAAAAAATTCATATTTAGATTCTATAATATTAACTATTGATAGAAAAATTTTCTATAAGTTAATAATATTACAAGTAAATTTTTTTTTTTTTTGTTTTCGAGTTATAGAATTAGTTAAATTAATTAAATTATAAATTCAAATATTTTAATTATAATTATCGATTATTTATTTTTCTAGTCGTCAAAAAAACTTCCTCCATTAATAAAAGCTGAACAAATAAATTTTCCAAATACATATCATCAAAAATCATCAACATTAAATACTTCAATTTATTCAAATAATAATAATAATAATAATAATAAACAATCAAAACTCCATACACCAACAAATTCATCTGAAACAATTGTACCTTTTTCATTACATGATATAACAGGTGATGTTAATCATATACAAACATCACTTGATAATATACGTGAATTAATGTTTGATAATTTACCTGATAGTACAACAATTGAAGATTTATTTTGTGATGATCATGTTTTACTTTCACCATTATTAACAAATAATGGTCAAACAACAAATATATTAACAGATAATATTCATGATGAAAAAATTAATAATCATTATCCATATTCATCTAATTCAAATGATATTAATCATACAACATCATCAAAATGTAAACAGATTATTCTTCATAAAAGTGAATTACCATCGAAAATTTCTGAAATTGATGTTAATAATCAATTACTTGAACAATTAATTAATGAAACAGCTATTATTGAAGAGCAACGTCAAACAATACATCAATTAGAACGGGAAAAATTAAATTTAGAAGGAAAAATTCATAGATTTGAACAACAACAACAACAGCAGCAGCAACAGCAAACAAATCAAAGAAAATAACAATTAGTTCTTTTTTTTTTTTTTTGTTTTTTTTTTTCTTCAATACTGTACAGTTATTATCTAAAAATTTGTTTCTCTTTCTTCTTCTTCTTCTTTGTCATTCGCTTATTTATAAGACAAGAAAAACAAAAAAAAAAAAGAAAAAACAACCACCATATATTACTTTCTGTTCCCTTTCTAGCATAGCATCGACTTTTCTTTTGAAATATATATATATATATTTGTGTTTATTCTTTCATGATTCATAATGAAAGTTTATTATCTGCCGTCATAGCCGGTAATCATTCGTGTTGTCTTTTTCTTTTATCGAAATAAACAACAACAACAAAAAAACAATCGAGACAATAGAGACGATTTTCTTATAAAGAAGCTTTGTTTTTTTCTTTTTCTTTTTTTTGTTTTAATTGATTTGGATCTATTATGTCTTAAGATATCGTTTGTTTTCTTGTTTGTTACTACAATGGGAATATTCTCATTAATGTCAGAGCTCGACGAAAAAAAAAAACAATTATTAAAACGTCAACAGGATCTTGCCGGCTTAACGAGAGATAAAAAAGCTTTTCATACGAAAATATGCTCTTAAAAAAATACAATATACTTGAAAATTTCTATTTTTATTCTTTTTTTTTTTTATTGCACTGAATAAAAAAAAAAATGTAAAAACAAATTATGTTTTTTTGCTTCAAAGTAACTCAACTACTACAAAATGTAAATCATAATCAAAGCTTATTTACGCGGTTTCACAGCACATTATTGATTGACTTTTTTTTCTTTGTACAATAAAAAAGGAAAAATTTACAATAAATATACATATTAACAAGCATGAAAAAGTAGAAACACACACACATTCACACATATTTTCACTACGTGACATAAGATTTTATCTTCGCTTCTAAGCACATATTGACCTGTTATACTTTTTTTTTTCATGAAGTTTTTTACCTAATGAGTAGTAAAGACTTATATACATAAAATATATAAAATCAATTGATAATAAATTAATCTAGAATGGATTTGGATCAATATCAGTAACACTTGAATATGTAGAAGGCCATGAATTACTTTGCATTGATGCTGATGCAGCTGATAATGAGCCAAATGAAAAAAAATGTCCAAAAAATTTAGTACCAATATTAGATGAATTTGATTTTGGAATATCAACTGGTTGTGATGTATTTCGTTCAGTTTTTTGTTTATATTTTTCTTCAGCTGCATGACATAAAGTTAAACAATAATTCATTGAAGCCATATTTTTTTATCGATTTGTGTGTATGAAAAAGTTTAGCGACGAAGTATGATGTCGTAAAAAAAGTATTTGTGGGGAAAAAAAAGAGAGTGTATGCAGTATTTATATGATACTGTTTTGAGTACAAGGTACGCGTTTATATTTTTTCTTTTTTTTTTTTTTTTATGCAAAAATAGATTTTCCACACTGTCAATGCGTGATTTTAGCATGTTGTTATTTACGAGGAAGATAGAGGCATAGCTAATAGGATAAAATGGTGCTGGATATGTCTTTTTTCTTTCTTGTTGCAGCTGGTAAGGAGGGTAAAAAGTAAAGGAAGGAAGAACAAGACGACTTCTCCTTGAGTGTACGTCTAGAAGAACAGAAAAATGCAAATACATTTTTCTTGTTTTGTCTTTCATTATACACTTCAAGTTTCGTTAATAGGAAAAAAAAATGCTATTAAACTATGAATAAAAAGCACTTCACAAGAACATACTCAGACGAAACATGAAGATTTCCCTGATTATCCCTCTCTTAATTTAAATATTCTCGTAAAATTCATGCATGATCAACTAGATTATATATGCATATTTATAAATCTATATATATATATATATTAAACAAAAAAAATATGTGTTTTTTTTTTAAATGTTTATAGAACACATAGTTCGAATAATATTATTTCTTTAGTACATGTTTTAGCTTATCTTAACCATAAATGAGAAAATTTAATATATATATATATTATATGCATTGATTGATGACCAAAACAAATATTAATTGATGATGACTGTTGTCAACCAGGGTTTTTTTTGATATTTTCTTATAGATGAAAAGCAAATTATTTCTATACATATATATATATATATATTTTATTATTGTTTACATCCGTTTGAAATATTGTGACATGTTTTTTTTTCTATATAATATAAAAGAAGAAACGATTCTTTTTTTTTTTTAATGTCTAACTTCAATAAATCATGTTAACATCTTAATGTATTTTATATGATAGAAATTAGCTTTTGAATAGAACATGACTGATAGATAAAAATGGAACAAAAAAACAAAATTCTTCAAGAATCTAAGAGATAAGTATATCTCTACTTGATCCAATCATCATCGACATGTAAAATGAGATTCATCAAGATGATGACACTCATCTTGCCGTTGTCAACATGAATCAAGTAGCGTAATTCGAATATTGTGACTTCTCTTATTTCTAGTTTTATTCTTAACAATAATAACATGACATTGGTGATCTTTTCTATATGTTTGTTTAAATCTTTTAAAAGCAACTAATCATGTCATGATTTGATTTGTTTCCCTAAACATCAGATTATCCTAGATATGTCGATTATTTAATATATAAAATTTTTTCTCTTACTTCTCTCTATTATATCTATATGAAATATCAATATTTATTATTTTTTTTTTTAATTATTATAAAACAACTTGAGCAATGTAATCGGTCACGCAAAAATGCTTACAACAAGAGACAAGAAAAAAAGAAAAATGAAACTAAGGAAGTGTAAGTAAGTAAGAAGAAATAAATGCATATACAAAAAACTATGCAAAAAAAAAATCATTAAAAAGAGTGGAAAGAAGAAAAAAAAAAAAAAAGAAGGATTGTGATTGTAGATAGAATACATCGACTATGTTGAGAGCAAAATGATTGACACCATCTTTGGGTATGCACGCTCGTTTGAGTATTATTCGAAGAATAAAAACAAAGTTCCATCTATTTTTTTTTTTCGGAATATAATATTACTGTCAATAACCAACAAGGATTCATTCAGTTGATCAAATTTGTTTATAAAATTAATAGAGTACTACTAGGCTTGGCATAGATTCTATTTTGATAAATGATTTTCGTAAATTGTTTATTGAATGATTTTGAATTCTTTTTTTTTTCAGATTAAATACATGGCAAACGCTACACGACGTCGTTTAAGTTTTGTTGATCTAGCTCATCCACAAGTATGGCATAAATTAGTTGAATATACAGAAGTGACTATTGCTTTTGCTAAATTAAGTTAATAAAAAATTAATATTTTTTTTACATTGTAGTTTTTTTATATTCATTTCTCGTATTGTTTTGTTTTTCTAGTTACCGATTTTAATAATCAATGGGCTAAAATATGTTTATTAACTTCATCACAATTACAACAATTAGTAATTGATTTTCGTCGAAAAACTGAAAGTGAAATTCGTGGAAAGTAAATTTTAAATATAAAATAGAAATAAAAGAAAAAACAAACAAGGAAAAGAAAATATTTTCTTCTTTTTTTTTATCTTTTGCTTTATATTAAGATGTCATCTAGGTGGAATGATGTATGATTTATGGGAATCTTTATTACTTGAATCGGAAATTGAATCTCAAGTAAATAAGAAAATCTAATACAAAAAATTTTGTATATCTCATAATATATTATTCTATTTGAAGTCTTTAAAAAAAGTTGCATGTATTATGGAAAAAGAAATTTGTGGACAATTAACAAATTGTGTAATGAATAAAACTCTTCAATTAACACTTAATAAAGAATATCGTCATGACCTTGATGAAATATTAGAAAAAAGTCATGAATATGTACAAGAAGTATGTTAAAAAGAAAAGAATTTATTCTTATAAAAAAAAAACACTTATTTAAATAAAGAAATAATCGTTTAAAAGATTTTTAAATAAGTAGCTTTTCTTAATCGGATTTCTTTTTTGATTTTTTGTTTTACTATATATAGTTACAAGAAGAATATTCTAAAATATTTAATAATCAAGGTGTTACATCAGATATTGATCTTGCTCATAATGAATATGTTCTTGAACTTGCTGGTGTTAATGGTCTTTATTCAAAATATCAATATAATATTTTACCAGAACTTCTTCAAGTAAATAATTTATTTTCTATAAGATTTATATTTTTTGATTTATTTTAAAATTAGAGTATGGAACAATCACAATTGGAAACAATTGATGCAATATGTCAAAATATACAATTAATAGCTTCTGTTTTACAAGAACATGTAAGAAAATAAAACACAAAAAAAACAAAATGATTTTTGAAATAATCTATTTCTTAATGAATAATAATGAGAATTATTTCGACCTATCCAAGCGTGACAGAATAACGGTTTTTTTTTCCATTTATCTCTGGAATATATTAACAGATTGAACTCTAATAGAGTCTGATTTTTTTGAAAACATATATAAGTCACGCTGCCCTACACAGCATAAAATATTCACTAGATCTTCTCTTTCTTTTACATTTTTATGACTGAAATACATGTCCGTGACAGAATAACTAAAAATGAACTCTGAGTTTCAGTGATGTGTGAAGAACTAAAAAATTTTAGACTATCTACAAGTGTAATTAAAAATTTTTCTATAGAAAAGTTGTAGCTGAGATAATCAACTATACATAGGAAAGAAAAAAAAACAATTCAGAATATATGATAGCTTCGTCTCACATGTAGAAAAAGTTGTCGTGACTGAATAAGGTTTTTCGTGACGGAATAACGCTTTTAAAAATCGGCATTTTTTTCATCAACATTTATTTCTACAGAAAGTTAATTGTAGTTTTCCCGACATGAATAAATTGATAACATCTCTGAAAGAATAATTAAGAAAACATCTCACATCATCCTTTTGACAACGTAAAAAATTATATAATAAAAGCATGAATTTCACATTTTTCTGGCTTTGCCGACATAAGTGGACTGGTCGATTTCTTTGATGAACAAACATATATATATATTTTAAGTTATATAAGAGGAATATACTACGATAGGATAATCTTTATATTAACTAGATTTCTATTTAGAATAATATAGTGATAGTATTATTGTTTGAGTATATTAAAAAGATGTTATAATTTTTAGATTAAATAAGAAAAAAAATATCAATCTTTTAATAGATTGAATTTTGAAAATAAAATCAATGAAATTAATTGTTTTCAATTATCATTGTATAATGAATATTTATTTTTGAAATATGAATAAATTATTATGATTTCAAAAATTAAAGATATAGAAAAGTATTTTAATGGTCTACTAGATACTAGATTTTTTTTAAAATAAAATTTAAACCTTCTTTTCTCTATTTCATTTGCTTATTATTACAGAAATAAATTGATATGGTATTATTTTTCATTACAATTACTAATTGCACTGAATAAAGGTCAATAAGGGTAATTTTCTTTCTAAATCGAACCAAATTTAATTACTTGATTTCTTTCCTTTTTTTGCTTGTCTGTCAAAACAAAAGAAAAAAAAGAAAAATGCGAAATAGGAGATAACTAATAATATATCGAGTAATTATCTAAAATTTATAATGAATTCATTTCTACTATCAACTTTTAATATTTTTTTTATTTAAGGACAAAGTACTTATATAAGATCTGGCAATAGGTTATAACAGATCCATATGTAGTCTTTTATTCATTTCCTTATTTATCAAGCAAGTCTATGTTTGTTTATTTGCATAGTTGCTTGTTATATGATGAAGATATTGGTCTGTAAAACATTTTTCCTATATTAGATGTAAAGTGGTAGAGATATTTTGTTGTTGTTCTATGCCATTTGACATATCGTTATAATCTATGCAAGGATGGGCAATCGTCAATCGGTAGTATTTTTTTTTTTTCTATTCATTTAAATAGAATAAAATTCTTTTTTTCTTATTAAACATACGAAAAAAGAAAAGAAATTTCATTTACATAATTCTATAACTTTATTTTTATTTTATTTTTTGTGTATCATTCATAGCATGAACAACGACATTCAAGTTTGGCATCATTTGTTGTAACAAGTACAACAACAAATCCAAATGAAGAATTAGAAAATTATATTTGTTCTATGAATGAAACAAATGATGGATTGACAAAATCTCCTGTTCATATACGTTTTGAATCATTTTTATCACCAATGAATAATAATAATAATAACAATAATAATTCACGTATGTTAACAGGAAAAGATGAACAATTAATAATTTATGCTGCACCAGTTATAAAAATGCAATTATCATCACATTGTAAAGAAACAATAGATCGATTGAAAGAAATTAAAAAAGAAAAATCATTATTATTAGCAATTATTAATCCACAAACTTCAAAAATTCCAGTTAAACAACATGATGATCAACAACAGTAATATTTTCTTCTTTTTCTTTTTTTTTTTTGGCTTCTCTTAATATACAACATACATTTATATACATATGTATGTAAATATGTTTATACAGGTCAGACAAGAAAATACTTAATCAAATCTGCGATTTTATGAAAAGAAAACATCAACTACGTTTAATTGAACTTGAAGAATCTGTATTACTTGCTCAGGTAAATTATCATAGTTAGTTTCTTTTTATCTTTCTGAGTACTTTTTTTCCGTACGAAAAGTATCAAAACAAAAACAAAGAAAAAACAAAAAAGAACAACTAAATGAGAAATCTATGGCATTTCTATTGACATTCTTCGTTAAATGACAATGGACACTTTCATTAAAAAAACATATTTGAAATTATTTAGAAATAACAATTCACATTTACAAAATTCGATAATTATTTCATTGGAAATTTTCTAACATTTATACAATTTTTCTACTTTTTTTTTTTTTTTGAAAGACATATTTAACCATCTGAAATGAATGAAATCGAGCGTAATTGTGTCAAAGAAAACAAGTAATAGATTGCAGTTGTTTTTTTCTAATAATCCAGCTGTCATTTGTCTAGGTCGACATAGGAACTTTTTGTCAAATGTCGAAACGAGTGTTTGAGCATGAGATGAGCATATGTATATATGTATGTATGTGTGTGTATGTATGTTCGGCAGGGAAATAGATCAGGATAAGACAATTGATCGGGACAAATATAACAACAATATATGCTAAATGTAATATTCATAACAAGAGAAAAAAAAAATTCTTCTTAAAGAATCCATCAGTTTGATTAATCGACAGTTTCCTTGCTATTATTTGCTTTACTCATGCTTTTTCTCTTTGTTTTCTAATAGGCTATTTACAATACGTTTCCTATTGTCAATCTGCCATAAACTTTCATATATAGTTCTTTCACATTGTTTCATAATAAAACATGCATTTACATAAGAATCATAACATACATATTATAGAAACTGAAAAATAATTCATTGATAACAATGAAATTTATTTAATAGGATTTTTTTCTAATTAAATTCTTTTTATTGTAATTTTTATTTTTATATTTATATATATATTTATTGTATATAGATTAGCAAAAACTTGACGTAAACATATAGAAAAACTAATCTTGTATTTTTCCAAAAGAACTTTTGAAACAGATGTCTTATTCGCTTGCTTTTCTAGTTAATGTTAAGAATGATAGTTATATATATATATATATATATATAACGGTATTGTTTTCTATCTGATATATTTTGGTTATCTTCTTGGGTCGGGTTATAGGAAGATGACACATCATGATACTTTCAACATAAACTATACTTTCTTAGTTACAAATATAGATAAACAAAGACAATACTATTATTGAAACTACTGGTCATTTATCATTCAATTTGACAGTTAAGCTAGGAAAAGAAGATAATATTACATGACATTCAGAATGATAAAGCATCTGAGACATGTTTCTTTTTATTCTATTAGTTTATTCATTAATTTCTATTTTTTTACTGTTCCTAAGTTTCTATTGAGAATAATTATAACTTCAGATAAGATAACATCAATAAATAGTTTGAGTTTTGTATACACGCCTATGTATATGTAAAGAGTAAGCAATCAACATAAAAAGAGAAGAAAAAAATTAAGTATTTCCCTAAGGAAATGTCTAATGTTTTTATTTTTCTCTTTTTTTTTTTAATGCAACTTTGCTATGCGCAACTGAGTTTTAATGATAAATAGAAGAAAAGTTTCTTTTTTCTTTTTGTTTGTCATTTTATAGTAAATATCAATCGTGTTCTTTCGTAATTCTCGTTTTTTTCTTCTTCTTTTTTCTGATATTCCTGTCATGTAATTGTGTATATAATATATACATTCGAGCATTAATAACTTAGAAAAGAATAAAAGTTATCTGTGAGTAGTATTGTTATTGTTCTATTGATTTGTATTTATTGCTTTTTCTTTTATAGCAAGATTTGCTCAAACCTCATCGACCATCGATGAGTAGTAATGCTGATAACGAACATGATGCGCATAAGCGCAATTCAAAAAATATTAAAGGTCTTTGGCATGATGCATTTCGAGCTTTAAAAACTTCGACAACAGCAAGTGGATCTGGAGAGAATGAAAATCTTTCGGTAAGTTAAACAAATGTAATGTACATTATAATGAAAATCTAACATGCATATTTAATTTTTATCGTTCGAAATCGAGTCATTCGAACGAGAGATAAACATTATATATATATATAGATTTCCATAGAGTCCGATAAATTAATAATCAATTATACTAAATATCAACTATGTTAATTCATATGTACCTATATATTTCATAATAGATAATAATTTTTATTTGATGATTATCTATTGATAAAAAAAGAATTTATTAATTAGTTTGTTTTTTAATGTGTCACGTTATCTTTACTAATTTTCACTGTTTGATTTAATAGTTATCTGAGAAAAAGAAAAATCTTGTCTCTTCTTATTGCCGATCAAATGGTTTCCTGTTGACATCCTCTATTATTATATTTTCTTTTTCTTTTTCTTTTTCTTCTTCTTCTTTTAACAACGGAGACTTTATTTGTTGCTTTTTATGCTTGGGCAAATACATATCAAATAGTTTATCATACAAGATAGATCAATATAATGTGTAGTCAAGAACAAAAAGATCAATCTCCTCTTTATGTTTCATCAAATCGTATACGTTCACATTCATTAAGACCACAATATTCACGATTAGATTATGCACGACGTAAATCAACTGCTAATATATCTTCACAAAATATATCATGTTTAGAATTAGAAAACGATGAAATTCAAAATAAAAAATCATCAAAAATATTTTCACCATCATGGTTAAAACGACGTTTAACATTATATTTTTTTGAACAAACAATAAATAAAAAACGTCGAATGACAACAGATTGTTTATGTAATATTCATGATAAATCATATTCTAATCTATTAAAACAAAAACGTTCGAGTGTTGTTGTACAAATGTTAGAGGTACTTCCATTAAGTCTCTCTCTTATGTCATATCATAACATTTGACATTGATCATATTCTATGATAAAGGTTTTTTTTTTTTTTATTTTAGTCGTTTGTACGACGACTTTCATCACGAAAGAAAAAACATCATGATGAACATGAACATGAACATGAAGAAGGTAAAAAGCCAAAAAATAAAAATATTTTAATTTAAATTTTTCAAAAAATTTTCCTTTTTTTTTGTGTTTTTATTTTCTTAGCTCAAACAGTAATTGATCCAGTTTATGAAACATTAAAAATAGCAGCTGAAACACGTAAAAGAACAATAGCTAATTATTTACAACAAAAACAACAAACGCTCAATAAACAAGCATCGCTCAATAGTCAAGGTTCATCAGAACTTGATATACAACCATCACCAAGAGTAACACGTCATCATGAGTCAGCTCCATCATTACGAACGAAACCACCACAAGCATCATCATCATTATCATCATCATCATCAGGTAAATAAAATTCAATGGTTCATTATTTTTTTTTCATCTATTATCGAAGCATGTTCATATTTGATAAGAAAAAAAATGAAATTTCATAACATATCCTATTTTTTTTGGTTTATTTTTTGTTTTTTTCTCTTGTATCTATTATTCTTGCTCTTATCCTGTGTTTTCAGATAATGCACGTATTTCCAATTTTTGACACTTTATTGAATCGATTGTTACCTAAAACAAATCCTGGTGAGATGCGTTTTTAATGAATTACCAAAAAAAAAAATAAAAATAAAAAGAACCGATGTTCTAATTAAATCTGTATGTATCGATGTTTATAGAACTATTTTAATTGTATTATAAATCGAGAGAGTGAGTGAGTGAGTGAGTGAGTGAATATCATGTTTCCTTTTATTTTTTCCGAGTGTATTTGTTGTACTTGATGGTCTTTTAATGTTTGTTTTTGTTTCGCTTCATTCTTTCTTGTTTATAAAAAGAAAAAAGAGACGATTTTTTTTTTCTTTGGAGAATTAAATTATATTTGACCTTTTATTATTATTGTGGTACATAGGACTCAGAGAAGAATTATGGAAATTTTTTTTTTTTATGGAAAAAGGTGTTATCGGAGAACATGACAAAATATAAATAATCTTATCGCTATCATTATTGCCATTGATGAATGATGGAATTTTCGGCGCACTTATAGTTATTGATGGAGATAATGATGATTGCAATTTGCCTGATGTGATTGTTCGTTGGCCAATATTTTTTTTTTTACATATTCGTTCGATTCTTTATCAAGATGTTCAATTGAGACACAAGAAAAAGAAACTGCTACTAATGGTATTACCGTTGTTGTTATATATAAATAACAATAGACTAAAGAAGATCAAATAACAAAATAGACATAGTCATATTTACAAGGCAATGTTTTCCAACGATCAATCGTTTTCTCAGCAAAAGATACTGAAGATTATGATTTATCGACCATTCTGATTTCAAATGTAATCATAAAGAAATTATCTTAGGTGTTTATATACTAATTTCCTCGAAAAAAAAAATCAGTTTTTCAGATTAACAAACATTTTCTTAAAATCGGTTTTTTTTTTATCAATTCGAGTTATAGAGAGTATATGAAGTTGTCAGTTGCACGGAAATAAATATTAGATTAAAGATTTTCACAAGGAAATGGGAACATGTGTCAGGGCTTCGGGTAGGATGGGACAATTCTATCCGATCGGCTTCGTGAGATGCAATAGATATCCCATGGAAAAAAAACGTCTTTTCAAGAATTTTCTTATTAAGAACAACATAATCGTTTCGAAATAGATGTCTTTCTCACCTATTCGAATGAAACATGTGAGAAATAAGTTTTTTTTTCTATTCTCCGAGTGGTTACGTACCGTAACCATTAAGATACAATAAATAAAGTAACAACGCACTTCGATCTATTGTAATATTAACAAATAATTTGATTCTGATTTTACTTATAATCAATAGTATATCTTCGAATGATTTTGTCGTCTGTTGTTCAATACAAATCTGATAAACTTGATTCATTAAGCTTGGTCACTGCTTCGTCTTTTTCTTTATTAGCTGTTCATAAATTTAAAATGGAACGAATTATTTATTTATTAAAAAAAAAAAAGATCCATTGAATTATAAAATCATACAAAACACAAAAAATAAATTATCATCAGTTTGTTAGCATGTTTTTGGTTTTCCAGCCAATAAACCTCATATAAAAGAATAATTAGAACTAATACCAAGCCTTACCAATTGTCAATCATATTTTCAGTCATGTACATTAACATCGAGTTCTGGTATACGAGTATCTGACACACACGTAGTTGTGTTAAACAGTTATCTTGTAGTACAAGAAAAAAAACGATCTTCGTTGACACGTGATACTCTGATTCAAATAGAATTAGAAACAATTTTCAGTTATAGAGAAAATGATATGCGTTATTTTAATCTAATAATAAGTAAAAGAAATATGAATTTAGTTATGATAAAATTATGAAATATACATATTGAAATAATGTAAAATTTGGTAGTATTTATTGAAATGATAGATGTTTTCAGAAATTTTTTTTTTGATAAGATATTTGACTAATGTGAAGTCCCATAATATGATTGGGATAGGATGGAAAATTTTCCGTTGCATCCCATCCCATATGAGACAGATCGCGATAGTTTGATCTCATGAGATGATTGTTTTCGTTTCAATCAAGAAAAATTACTAGTCTCAAAAACCAATATATGAAAACCTAAGAGGATTCTTTATGATCATATTCGAAATCAACTGGGTCGATAATCCACAATTTACTGATTTTCGGCAAGAAAGCGATTTATTAGTTGGAAAGGTTTTCTTTTCCGTCTGGTTTATAAACGACTATGATAGAGATAATAATCATTTGTTGATGACATGTGTAAATAAAATTACAAACTAAGCATATATATATTAATAATAGTTACTCTTCTATGATACTTAGTATTAATTAACGATTATTCTAAGGATGATAAATAGCATAAATAAATAAAGAAGAATAACAAAATGTGGTTAAAAAAAGAACATTCATGATGAATATAATCAAGAATACTATAACAATATTTATATAAAAATAAATTTAAACTAAGGAAAAGAAAATAGAATTCATTTTATGATCAATATGTTTATTGGATATAACAGATATATACTCGATTCTATTAAGGACTATTTTTACATATTCACTTAAACACAAATTACATTCATCAAAACGCGATTAGCTCAATCCTACATTGATAAGATAAAGATATCCATATAGATGATGGCGAAGAAGTGAAAATTATTTACTTCAAATATAAGTCAAAACTATTGTCTAGAATTAACAGTTCAGATATTTCAAGTCTACTATTAATGTGTGTGATGAACATGTTGATTTCGAGTTCATTTTATATTAATTAATCTGTCTGACAATAAAGTTTAAAGATGAAGTGTTGTTTGTTTGCGCTATTACTCAACAAATTAACATAGAATGAACGTAAATCAGCATACTCGTGATATACAATTGATAGTAGACTTGGAATATCTGAAAGACTCTAGAACAATAACTTTTATATGCCATAGGTATATAGAGAAGTACGAAATTGTCTGGACAAGAATTTTTCTGAGCCCGCAATTAGAAACATTTGAGCCCGATGAAATTAGTTCGGGCTCAAAAAAAAAATGTTTTGTGTCTTTTGACTTCGAAATATGAAATGAGCCCGATTATCCATTGTTCTGAACCTGCTATAGTTTATTTAGTTCAAAAAAAATAACATAATTTTATATAACAGAAAAAAATCATCGACAAAATTTACATCGGGTAATTTTAGTGATCGATGGTAATTTAATAAACTACATAATTGTGAACGTGAAACAACACCTTCAGATTGATGTTCAATAGCTCGATGTGTTTGAATGTAAGAAAGACCAGCTGCAACAGAATTTATAACAATTTCTCTAACTGGTGATGGTGCTCGTGTTGTTGATGCACGATGAGCATGATTATGTTCATTGGATGTTGAAACTGTTATTCCACCATCATAAGAAAAAATAACTTTGACTTGAAAATCGCAGTCAGGATATTTTCTGTACTTTGAACATCGATATATGACCTTCTTTCCAGCTTCAATTTCTTCTGTACGTTTTATAGATACAGCATTTTGTACGATAAAGGATTGAAATTCATTTTCACTGAAAAATTTGTCGACAATATTCCACGTTCGGTTGGGCATAGTGAAATGTTTAAGAAATACAATAACAAACGTGTAAGAAATTCAAAAAATACTGAATGTACACAAGTTACGCATCATGATAATCTATCGTATTGATGAAATTTATCATGCACGTGCCATCTACACAATATCTTGCGGCCGGGCTCAAAACGATGGATAGCCGGGCTCAACAGACACAACATTTTTTTGAGCCCGGACGAATTTCATCGGACTCAAATCTGTCTAATTGCGGGCTCAAAAAAATATTTATCCAAATTGTCGCTTGTTCCTTGTTAATAAAGATGCATTTAGATATAAAGGTTCATGAAGTAATGAGCTAAATAAATACAGAAGGTGACTGAATATATAAGAGTGATTCGTTTCACAAGACTAAAACTTGATTTTTATGTTCATATTATACTTGGCTAATCGATTTCAGTGTATATGTACAATGTAATTGATTTTTCAATAGATATTTTGTTCATTTTTTTGTTGATCATTAGTCTGTTATAACTATAATCGTTTTTAGTTTTTAAATACTCTTTCCCAAATTTTATTTTTAATCTTAATTAATAATTTAATACAATAATTAAAAATTTCTTTTGAATTATATTTTGAGGTACTTAGATTGAAATAGAAGTTTAAAGAACTTTTCTAGCAATTCTATAAACTATTTAGTTAACATTTAAGAATCTCTTGTCTATAATAACTTTATAATGAATTTAGTTTTAATATTCTTTTCAGATGATTTTGAAAAAAAAAATGAATAATAAATTCGATTGATACTATATTAAAATTTGGACTATTTTGGAAGATGATGCAAAAATAAGTCAAAAAGAACTTGTAACAACATTCACATTTCATGATTCATCATTGCAAGATGAGTAAAGCATTTTCATGACGGAAGAAAAAATGTCAATGATGACTCTCGATTTATTCGTCCGATTTATTGATGAGATTTCTCTTTCTTATGACACAATAGAACAAAAAATATTCACGATTATTTAACAATGAGAGAAGTTACATAACATTGGGTACATCATGAACTCAATAATGAATATAAGCAAGAACGAGTTAGAATTTCGCAAAATGTTATTATCGATCATGACAATATAACTGATGAGATATGGATTTATCATAGATAGATTGGTCAAAAATCAACTAATGCAAGCAGGATTAGTGAAGATGAATTACTAATGACTATTGTTCTTCGAAGTAGATTTGAACTAAGAACTTTGTATTATTTTTTTGTAATATTCTTTAAATCAAATGGTTCTTTAGCAATATATAGTGTAAATAGAAGCAAGATTATAGATCACAACAACTGTTATATTGAAAGTTGACTCAAGCCTGTTGTTAATAAAATATGGAAACAGAAAAAAATCATCACATGTTAAATGATTTCTTCACAAGGTTCGATGTCACACTCATTTGGACGTTATGTATCATTTAAGACAAGAAGATATCAATTTAATGCTCTATTCACTGTTTTATTTAGACATTGACACTATGTGAGTTTTGGCTAAATGATTATTATATCAAGCCTAATTTAATTGATCAAATGCATGAAAAATCATTGGCTCGTGTGATTTCCCAAGATAGTTAAAAATATTTCAGAAGAAAAGTCAAAAAAAAACATTTTGAGAAATTATTAGAAAGGATGATATTTTGTATAAATAATTGTGCCAATTATTTTAGATCTTTTTAAAAAATTTCTCTATTTTTATATTTTTTATTTAATGTTGTCATAACTTTTAATCAACCTTCAATGGATCAAAATAATGTATTTCTTTAAATGCTATAAGGTCATAAACAGTAGTATATTCATTTTACAGATTTCCATAAGTTTTGTGTGTTTTTATCAAAAGATGCTCCATTTAATATTCTATCAGAAGTACGAAACCGAATCTGTTTAATTCTTTGTGAAATTTTAATAAATTAATAACGGCGAAAATTTTTGATTGGCGTACTATGTCCCATTAGAAAAACCCAGAAATTACGAGTTTGAAGTGTTGTCAGCTAAAGTTGTTGTGCTGAATGGTACGCTAAATGAGAGCCTTGAACTTACTAGTGCAAAAAAGAAATATTAAGTTGTTGATATTTGATCAATAATCAGTGATTATTTCTGTTTGACATCTTTTTCTCTTGATATTGTTTTGTACAATATTCGTTTCATACGAAGTTCTTACGTTTAAACTTAGAATAGATGATAACCTTTCTGCTTTATATGAATCATTATGGATCTGCTTGTTTTTAAATGTTATGCTCGAGAATGAATCAACTATAATTGATATGATCCATCTAAAAAAATAGCCAGAATGTCTCAGATTTCTTATAGCGAGGCATAGTACAACAATGAATATCTTTATTAATTTATCAAAATTTTAAAAAGAGTTAAACAGAGTTGGTTTCACACTTCTGATAGAGTGTGAAATATGGTATCATTTGAGAAAAAAATCAACCTCCTACCTTATTCGTGAACGGAGATACATCCAAAACAAAAAACGTCTACATATATTTATTAAGACAACATAGAAATCAATAATATTATTTGCAATTAGTGTTATATGCACTACTTCTATTGTAAAAAGAAAATTAATATAATGTTTAGAGTCACTCTCTAATTGTTCATAATTATTCCATGACATTTTCATATATACAGCATTGAACAATTGATCCAACTGTTCAATATTTTAATAGATGTGTTCGTCACTGATAAAAACATAGCAGATAAAGAAAGCCCATCTGAAAATCATTGTATATGGATGTGTCACACGTCACAGTATAATGATCGTGCTTTTTCGTATACTATATGAAATAATACGGTCAGGATACTGACAAGGGAACCTTTTCAGATGCTAAATCGCTTTTCAACCGAAACTATTCATTTGATGAGTACTAAGGAATAATAGAAAAACTTGGAATGGTTTGGTTTTTGTTCTTAAGTACTTGTTTATGAGATTAATTGATTATGTAACTAGTATTTTCTTTCTCGAGATCGTAAATATCTGAATAAAATTTGCTTTTACACATGGAAGAATTTTCAATATATTAAAATAGAAGATACTAGAAAAGTTCTAACTTGCTCAATGAACTGATCTCATGGAAAACTTTGCTAGTGTAAACCTGAAGGAGAGAGAATTCAGTTAAATTTGCATATCTGAAAAACAAAGACTCACAAAATCAAATTATTCTAAACTTTTTTTATCGCTTCCTCATACTCATAAAATAAACATTGTATCCGTTAAAAAAGTGATTTGACATTTGGAAAGGTTTCTCCATGAGTCACGTAATAGAACAAAATATGAGTGTATGTCATGAAATACGGATTTCCTAATCTCCGATTTATTTAAATTTTTATGCATAAGTATCGCATGTTTTGATTATCATAAACAGTCATTTCTACCATTGTAGTCATAGCTACAATATAGTAACTATTTTATTGACAGACATAGGTGAATTCTCGTTTCTACGCCCTATCCTTTCAATCTAGAGAACATGCAATTTCGACAAAAAAATTGTTTCAATAAATGATATTTAATTTGTGTATGACAAATTTGAAAATGATTATTGAAGTTGATGTATTACTAACACTATCCATTGATTTGGTAAAAAAACGTCAAAAGAAATTTTGATAGAAACAAGAAAAAAAAAGAACCATACTATACATAACTCGAATTAGAATACAAGATGAAAACCGAAAAATAGATGTAAAACACGTCAATACATATATAGGTTTTATGTATATCAATCATATAAAAGAAAAAGACTGAGTTCTTTTTAAAGAAGCTCAATGATTAATATATAAAAAGATGTTACATATAACATTTACCCCATCTGTAGATTCTCTGTCCGATTTGTTCGATTCTAATAAAATTAATAATACTGATTCACATATGTTTTTTACAAAATAAAAAAGAAGAAGAAAGCTCAAGCTCTTTTAATAATTCTCTTTTATTGTTATTTTCTCTTACCTATTTTATGACAAATTAGATTTTAATCTTTTGATAGATTTTGTTTAATTTTGATCTTGTACAAGACATTATTGTTGTTGATTTTCTTTACAAGAATCATTATATTTATATTTTTTCTAGATGGAAACTGAATGTATAACTGTAACTAGTTTTGTACTTGAAGAAAAAAAGAAATATCCTGGTGCAACAGGTGAATTAACTATTTTACTTAATGCATTATTAACAGCTATTAAAGCATGTGCCGCAGCTGTAGGAAAAGCAGGCATTGCTAAATTGTAAGATAAATAAAAATTTTTATTTTAATTAAAATTTTCATTTTTATAGATATGGTTTAGCTGGTTCATCAAATACAACAGGTGATGATCAAAAAAAATTAGATGTTCTTGCTAATGAATTATTTATTAATATGCTTAAATCATCTTATACAGTTTATGTTATGGCATCAGAAGAGAATGAAAATATGATTGAAGTTGAAACAAAAAAACAGGTATATTGAAGATTTTTTTTTTGTCTTTTTATGTAAATCGAAGCGTTGAATTTTTAGGGTAAATATGTTATATGTTTTGATCCATTGGATGGTTCATCGAATATTGATTGTCTTGTAACGTAAGTATATAGAACTAGAACATAGAGGGAAGCACTATGCAAATCATTTTCAAAGATTAAATAGCTCATGGCTTTCAATTATTGATCCTCTATCTTTTAGTGTACGATACGATATTTGAGTATTTTCGTGATATTAAGTTGTTAATGCTTAAAAATTTGCTTAGTATACTAAAGTGATCCTCGGCATTTTCATCAGTATACCGTTAGAAAACAAGAGCAGGGCGTTCCACTCCGCTCTAGAAGATAAAAGCTAAAGTTAACAGATTTTCTTTGTCTTTTAGTATTGGTTCAATATTTGGTATATGGAAAAAACCAGACAATGTTCAAAATCCAATGGATTGTATATTACAAAGTGGTGAACATTTACGTTGTGCTGGTTATGCTGTTTATGGTTCCGCTTGTATGCTTGTTTTGGCCACAAGAGAAGGTGTTAATGGATTTACTCTTGATCCTGTATGAGGAATAAAAAAAAAAATAAAAAACTTCTTTTTTTTTTTCTTATTTTCTTTTTGTTTACAAACAAATTTTTATTTCTTAGTCAATTGGTGAATTTATTTTAACTGCACCAAATATGCAAATGCCTAACTATGGTGAAAAAGGTTCACAAAAAATTTACAGTATTAATGAAGGTTATGCAAAATATTGGGATAAAGCAACAACTGAATTTGTTCATTCGAAAAAGTTTCCAGAGGTTAGAAAGATTATTTACGAAAAAAAAAACGAACATGTTTGATAATCTTTTTTTTTGCGTAGGGTAAAGAAAAACCTTTTGCTAATCGTTATGTTGGTTCAATGGTTGCTGATGTTCATCGAACAATTCTTTATGGTGGTATATTTTTGTATCCAGAAACTAAAGATGCTAAAGATGGCAAAATTCGTTTAATATATGAAAGTATTCCTATGGCATATATTGTTGAAAAAGCAGGTGGTGCATCGTCCAATGGTGAACATTCCATTCTTAAAATTCAACCAAAAACAATTCATCAACGTTCGCCAGTTTTTCTTGGTCAAAAAGAAGAAATTGAACAAATTGAAAAACTTTATCAAATATATCCTCGTGGTACATGGGCTCATAAATAAGAATCTCATACATTCCTTTTAATTCTTTGTTGTTTAATGTTTAGAACTAGTCATTTGATATTGTCTATTTTTCTTTCACTTTCAAATATTTCGTTTTAAATGAAAAATATTCTAGTCCACAATATGTCTAGTCATTGTATTTTAGATGTCTAATGAAAAAGTTTCTCAACATCTTTATCTTGGTCTTGATTTGAGTACACAACAAATTAAATGTATTGTAATTGATGAACAATTACAAACAATAGCTGAAGAAGCAGTTAGTTTTAATGATAAATCATTACTTGTTCATCATGTTCAACCAAATGGTTTTATTGTTGATAAAAATGATAATCGTTGTATAACAACACCAGTATTCGTATTTCTAGAAGCACTTGGTAAAAATTTCAAAAAAAACGAAATCAATAAATAAACATTTTTCTAAGAATTCTATATAATTAATTTAGATGTATTATTTCAAAAATTAAGTAAGGAAAAAAAATTTGATCTTTCAAACATAGTTGGAATATCAGGTAGATAATAATAGGCTTGTTTTTTTTTAAATTCAATTTTTATTGACTCTGCTATTAAGGATGTGGACAACAACATGGTAGTGTTTATTGGAAAACTAAAACAGAATTAGAAAATTTAAAAAATTTTCATTTAACAAATAATGATAGTATTGAAAAATCTAATGAAAAAAATTTATATCTTGTTGATCTTTTAAAATCATCATTTTCACGTATGAATTGTCCAATTTGGATGGATTCATCAACAACACATGAATGTCAATTAATTGAAAAATCTGTTGGTGATGCACAAAATCTTTTTCAAATAACTGGTTCAAAAGCATATGAACGTTTTACGGGTAGTCAAATAATGAAAATCGCTAATAAGACACCTGAAATTTATGAACAAACAGAACGTATTCAATTAATAAGCAATTTTGTTGCTAGTATTTTACTTGGTGAATATGCTCCTATTGATTTATCTGATGGTTCAGGCATGAATTTACTTGATATTCGTCAATTTAAATGGTCAAAAGAATGTTTAAATATATGTGGAAAAGATTTAGAAAGAAAACTTTCGGAAAAACTTGTTCATCCAAGAACAGCACTTGGAACAATTGCAAAATATTTTGTTGAACGTTATGGTTTTAATAGTCAATGTCAAATTGTATCATTTACAGGAGACAATCCATCATCATTTTATGCATTAGCATCTGATGCAAAAACGATTGTTATTAGTTTAGGTAAATATATCTTACCGTTTCATGGCGGGTTTTCCATGTATGGGAATGGCAGCTTGATGCTTCTGAAACAGACATCGCATTGTACTCGAAGTACAATTTAATATTAGAATCTAAATATTTCTGTAGATTGCAACAAAGAACAGACTGAAGGCGATAGCAGTTTTGCAGTAAATACGAACTTTTTTTCGTCAATAATGAAAAACTCCATCGACAGCCAAAGACGTTGACATGACTGTAGTCACACGACTTTTCGTCTCAAACAGGAGACAAAAACGAGTTATGAACGCATGAGAATCCAATGTTGGTCTACACAATAAAATATTTCTAATAAAAATCGTCTTAAAAAGGCTGGAAACTATTGGCTATTGGGTCTTCTAGATGCACAAGCTTTTCGCAAACTGTAATAAGGACTAGTGTTATATAAAATATGAACAAATTTTTTGTTGACTAAAAATAAAGCTCGCCATGAAAGGTTTATTACAAATAAATTCAAATAAAGTAGATAAATAAATATCTAGGTACGAGTGATACAGTCATGGCTTCCATATCTGCAAATTACATGCCAAAACAAGCATTAGATGGTCATTTACTTGTTAATCCATTAAGAGATGATCGAGAAAATAAATTATTAATGCTTCTTCTTTGTTTTAAAAATGGATCACTTGTACGAGAACGTATGTAATTGAACAAAAGTGTTTTCTTTTCAATAAGATAAACAAATATTTTTATTTTATTTAGGTATACGTGAAGAAGTTGCTTCAAAAGATTGGCAACAAATGAGCGCATTACTTTCTCAAACTTCACCATCAAATCAAGGTTTTATTGGATTTTTCTATGATGATCATGAAATTTTACCACAAAATATACAAGGAAGATTTTATTTTAATGCTGATGATCAACAAATTGATAATCTTGAAGCTGCACATAAAGCAAGAGCTGTACTTGAAGGACAATGTCTTGCAAAACGACTTTATTTACAAAGAGCTAATATAGATTTAACTAATAATGTTGATCGAATTGTAATTACTGGTAAGAATATTTTAATGAAATACTAAAAAAAAAAAAAGGTTTAATTTTTTTGTAGGTGGTGCATCTGTTAATGTTGATCTAGTACAAATTTTAGCGGATATCTTTGGTAAACCAGTTTATGGTGCATTAGCACCTAATTCTGGTGCTCTTGGTGGTGCTTTACGTGCTATTGATGTTATTAATCAAAAGTCGAATTCAACAACTTCCACTATTGAATGTCTTATTGCTGCTCAACCTCGTCAAGAATACACAGCGGTATATGATGAAATGCTTGTTCGTTATGCTAAACTAGAAGATAAAATAGTCAAAGAAACAAAATAATCATACAATTGATATTTCAGTGATTTTGTTTTTTGTTTTTCATTATATGTTTAATTGATTGATATATTGATTTTAGTTTTTGATCTAGTAATTCTATGCATCTATCTTCGAAAAAACCAGCTCATACATTTATATTTGATTGTTCTAGATGAAAAATTTCTTTCTACTTTTGATTATATAATGGCCGCACGATACGAAGCAACACCGATTCCTAATTTGCCTGGTTATGCACTTGGAGAAAAACTAGGTGCTGGATCATTTGGTAAAAGAAAATTGTGAATGATATTTGATTTCAATTATATTTATTTATATCTATAGGAACTGTATATAAAGCAAGATTGATACCGGTATGTCAATTTTGTTGGTCTGCGTATTTCTTTCTCCTGCACTCACACGCACATCAATAGTAGTCAACGAGCAGGTGTTAACAGAAATTGATGATATATTTTTAAATGAAAGAAGAAAACGAGACAACGATATTTGTTGAATAGAATCGGAGAAATATGTGAGCTAATGGAAAAATTAGATGACGATTTACGAAAAAAAAAACAATTTTTCTGACAATACATGCGGTATCTGTTGAAGATTTTATGTTGTACTCAAGAGTTAGCCCATGTACATGCATCGCAAAAAGCGACCCAGTTCAGCTCATGTTTTTCTTGTCGAACAGTTTCGGTTCATGAGTGAGTTAGGCTGAACCGAATTTCACCTAGTCTAATGGGAGCTATCAGACTTTCTAGTATGTAATGTTAGATGTCATTATGAAATAGTCGATGATAAGACTTCGCTAGGATTAGCTAAGATTGAATGAAGGTTCGTCAATTTTATTAAATAAATGATGAACAAAAATAATAGAATGACAATCTATAGTAGATGAAATAAGAGAGACAAAAAAACAAAACAAAGAAATTTCAAACATGAATACGTGTACATACAACAAGAAGAAAGAGATAAAATGAGAGATTACTATTATTGTCCTATGCTTATTCCTCGAATCTCATCAGTTCTCAAAATAGAAAGATTGTTTTAACAAGAGTTTACGTAACGTTCATCAACTATTCAAAAAACAATTTCAAAACTAATTTCAACAAAGTTTTTTAGTCAAACTCTTCAAGTCATTCTGGAGATGCTAGATACTTTTTCATCGATTATTTATATTAAACTACTATAATACACCGTACATATTTCTCAAATAATCCTGACAATGATCTTATATTAATCAAGTCATGATTGAATGCTAACTTTTGAGATCTTCATGACGGAGTAGCTACTTTGTTTCACAAACGAAAGGCAGAGGTATTCTTCATATTTCTCTTTTACTTTTCGAATAAGACTCGATCAAGTCCGAGTTCAACTTGACAGATTCTAACTTTGATAAGTAATCATTAAAACCAAAAAATTGTTGTTTTCTATTTATTACTTAAGACTTCTCAATCTCGACCAAGTTCAGCTGCATGTGCTCGTCCTAATTTCTTTGCTATTAAATGTATCAATCGTAAAACTCTTACAAAAACTACTCAAGATTTACTTATCAATGAAATAAAATTACTTAAAAATATAAAACATGAAAATATTGTTGAAATGTATGATTTTCAGGTAGATAAATTAAAAAAAAGAATTATCATATTTTTTAATTCTAATCGTTTCTTTTTATTGTTCAAAGTGGGATGAAAATTATATCTATATTGTTATGGAATATTGTGCTGGTGGTGATATGTCAATGTTTATACGTTCTCGACAACAATTATCTGAAGCTCGTGCACGACCATTTGTACAACAAATTGGTAAGAATATGTAAGTGTTATGAATAAATATTCATTCATTTCTTTTTTTTTTTATATGTTTTATTTCTTCAAAGCTCGAGTATTAAAATTTCTTTATGAAAAACGAATTAGTCATATGGATTTAAAACCTGAAAATATTCTTTTAACATCTATTGATAGACCAATATTAAAAGTAGCTGGTATGATGAAACTTTTATAGTATTTATTACTCATAATGTATTTTATAGATTTTGGTGTTGCACAACATATTGGAAAACGTGGTAGTCGAAGTATTCGTGGAACTTTATTATATATGGCACCAGAAATACTTTCTTCACATCCATATGATAATCGTGTTGATCTTTGGTCAATGGGAATTATACTTTATGGTAAATTTGAAATATTGAAGATGAAAATAAGATAATAGTTGTTTTTGTTTAATACTTATAGAATGTCTTTTTGGTCGACCACCATTTATTTTTTCATGTGTTGATGAACTTATAGAAGAAATTAAATCCAACGTTCCAATTGAAGTAAGAAAAGATGCATTTGAAAATGATTTCCTTGATAAACAAAAAAACTTTTTATTTTAAAATAGATTCCAAATGATGCTCGAATCTCATCCGAGTGTCGTAATTTACTTGAAGGTCTACTGCAAC